AGCCTAATGCCTCCATCCTGCCCAATGGTCTGAATTTTCTGTTGGCAAATTTTGATTTTGTGGAAACTGTGTTTTCCATCAGAAATACATTTCCACGGAAAACTCCTGACCAGCTCTAACTATTATATCAGAAAGTGCTATGGAGATTTTCTTTTTCCTATTTCTGAAAATTGACTTATTTTATTGATCTCTTATGCTTAAAAATTCCTGAGATGTTTTGAGAAATATTTTTATTTTGTACTAACTCTTTTTAAAAATTGTTATTAACTTCTTGAAAGTATAAACAAGATGAAATGTTAAATGTATTAGAGATTTAGCCTGATGAAACTAGTGATGTGAAGTACATTTCAGAAAACAGCAGAGACTTCTTAAGTGACACCTAGCAAAGAAGGAAATGTGTTTATATAGTAAAACAATGGTGCATTAGGGTTATTCATTTAACCAGTTTCTAACATATTTGTAATTTGATTTGCAGCTCAGAACCAGCTTTGTAGTGATTCATCCTCCACTTAACCAGAGGCTTTTAAAGTCAAGACAGATAAGTGTTTTGACATTCTCAGCTGGGAATCATGCCCTTAACTCTCATATTTATATATAGTCTCTTGACTGCTTGGATAGTATAGCTGAGTCTTTATCCAAGGGCATAATTGTCAGCCAGTGATGGGTTTTGAAGGGCAGTCTGCATAACATGTCAAGTGTTGTCTCCTCTGCGAGAAGTCCCTCCTCAGTGACAGCGCTGTCATAGTGGCACCTTGTGGCAATCTCTTTACAATGAAAGAAACCAATGGCTTTTTCTCAACTTTCTCTTTTTACTTGCAACAGTGCTCATCAATATGCATATGAAAATGCCACGATCTGGGTAGCTGATTAGCTAAGGAGGTAGGCCACAGGTTAAGTCTGGCCCAAGGAAAGTAGGTTCTGTTATATGTCAGTCAACCTATTATCAGATGATCCTTTGTCACACCCAGATATTTGTTTTCTCTTGTGATGGTGATGGTGGCATGGCAAGAGACACTGTATCTCCCATCTTCAAAATTTCTCTTAACAAGATCACTAATAACTGTTGTTTCTTTTGTACTACCTCGACTGGAGGGCAATTCACTCAAGTTATCAGCTCACCCTTGGCGACTGAAGATAGCAAAGCTGGATTTTTATAAAACATCTGTAAGTCCCCCAGTGGGCCAGTGGTTGTGCGCTGTAGACAAGTACTTCCCATTCAGTGGGGTGTGACCTAGATGCGGGTCACCTGCCAGTGAGTCATTGTACTGGTGGATGGGGCAGCGGGCGGGAGGGGGGGAATTAAACAAAAATCCCCTCATTGCCAGGACTCAGCAGGCCCAGGAGGGGACAGAAGGAGCCCCTCTCCCCTTGCCCCTGCATGCGTTCTGATTTCCCAACACGCAGACCCAGAGGAGCTGTAACCCCTATCCCATGATCACACTGCTCCAGGATAGGGCAAGTGAGCACTTAAGAGACTGAAGTGCTAGCTCTGTAGCTTCTTGAAGCAGTGACTTCTAACTCCCAGATTTCTGCGTTGTTCAGGCTGAGGTGAAAAGGACCTACAGCAGCATCCAGTTTCCACATACACGCACGAACTCCAGCATCAGCCACTGCACCTGTTACCCACCAAGAGCCTTGCCAGTCACCACCAGCCCCCCATTATTTTTACTGATACAAATCCCACAGTCCTTTATGGCAAAGAAATGTGGGTAGGGTGGGTCACAAGGTGAAGTCATGATCATGTGGGGGGTTGCAATCCAGAACAAATTGAGAACCCCCTGCTGTAGACTTAGACTAGAACATGGATCATGCAGTGCTGAGTTGTAATGTCATAACTGGATTATTTTTTTCCTTCTTCCTGCCACCTTTCCTCCCTCTTCTCAGTCTGTCATGTTTCATTGGTATCTATTGTATCTAAATAGTGAGCTCCCAGAGGAGGGACCTTGTTTTCTTACTTGTTTGTAAAGCATCTTACATACCAACGATGCTATAAAAATAACAAAATCTGGCTCTGACAAAATACATTCTGGGCTGCTACACTATTTATTTTGTATTCCACTGGTAGGCCTAGAAGCTGGGCAAGCTTTTCTTTCAAATAAGAATTTTTCTCTCATAACAGATAACTTAGTTGTACCTCAGCCTCTTGATCTCAGTACAATAAGCTTTGGAGCCAGTCTGCAGATTGTTTCCAGATTCAAGTATTTAACTTCCAGTATACTTTTTATATGACCTCTGTTTCATGAATCTTAGATACCAGAGGATTCCAGGTTAATCAGTGATGTATTTCTTTAGTTAGCCACATACATTGAAAAGAAGTTTGCAGCAATTTTTTAAAAAGTGGATTTAGCAGCAGTCTTTAAAGAAGATTTAGTTTTACTTAGATAACTGCACTGGAGTTTCTTGGATTTCATTAAGAGTGTGGAGAATGTTTCCTTTCATTTTAATTAAATTTAAGCTTTATTTAAGGATTGACCGTTCTGAGAGAGACTTTATTTCAGGTCCAGACCGTTCACCGGGATAACCTTCCAACTGCTTCTATTAACTTGCACATAATACAGATCCTCAGCTGGGTGAACATCATTAAAGCGCCATTGATTTTAGCCTGGCAGTACTGTATCTTTCATAGTTTGGGATATTTTGGGAATGAAAGGCATTGTGTAAATGTAAAATATTATTTGACTCAACTTCAGAAATGGAACAAATTGTACCATTGGCAATTAGCTCTACTTGCTTCTGATGTGAAGCCTGATTCCCTGCCCTGGAAGGCCTTGTCTTGACTAGGATTTTAGGTGTGGTGTTAACCCATGTTAGCTAACACGTACTAACATGTATGTTTTAAAGAGCTACTTAGAAAAGTCAAGCTGCCTGTGATGTGAATTTCACAATGTTTTTGTATCGTCACAGTAAACTCAGAATAATTTTTTGCGTTTTAACGAGATATGAAGTTGTATCAACTCCAAACAAACAAAACAAAGAATAAGCCTCTGCAGTAAACTCAGATTTGAGGCCTCATACTTTTTTGGTGAACCTGTGGCTTTTCAGAAATTGTGAGTGATATGTACTATAATATTTGGATATGTAAAAATTCCTGCACCCCCATTCCCCAATTTTCCTGCATAATCCATTCCTCTAGCTGTTGAAAAATACAAAACAATTAAGTAAATAAAGAAAGCACTACTAAAATAGATTGCTGAAGAGATTTATTAGTCAGCCTACGCCAAAGATAAGCCAAGGGGAGGAGCAAACTCATAAAAAGATTTAAAAAGTGAAAATTCAATAAAAATATCCTCTCTCTGGGTAGCTTAGAAAAGTCTAGGGGTGTTAACTTTTTTTTATGGCTTTCCAGAATCTGTGCTCCAGCTAATAACATTTTCCTGATGACACTTGTAAAGCTTTTATCACTAAATAGCTCTGACTCCAGTTCTTCAGTTTTCTTTTTCATTCTCTTAGAATTTCGATTATGTGGATTCTGTATGTTGATGCTCTTGTTACCAGTTCACTGGGAACTTCTTGAATCAATGCCCTAAAACTCGGCATTAAAGAAAGTTACAGTTAGGTCTATGGAACATGTGCACTGACCCTATTGTTAAACTGGTAGGATTATTTGGGGGCAACCTCTTCATATTTTCCCAAAGTCCTAATCACAGATTTCCTTAACATTGAACTATTTTATTCTTGTAATAAGCTAATTACTATCCAGTACCAGGTATTCTTCTAAAAGGCTTTTGATGGCTCCAATCATTCCTCCAAACTGGGACCAAGAAAGTGTTGGGGAACTCCTCCTTTTCCTATGAGCTCTCACTTTCCATCACTGACGAAAACTATGAGAGTGCTTGGGAAATCTGAGAGACACCATTGCCAACAGTACATTGATAGATCGAATCTGTTCTGAACAGATGTATCTAATGCCATCACAAAGACATTATAATGCTTACATGAGCTCTGCACCTGGATGAAGAAGACCTTGTTCAGACTGAACTTCAGCAGGCCACCCAGAAAAAACTCATCTTTCACGTGAATCCATTTAGTAACCATTACATTGCACTTCTCTGTATAACACAATACACCTGTGTTCCAATATTTAGCCTGTATTTACTGTAGTCATGTCTTAATAAATGATTTCCAGGTTCAACTTTTTATTTTCAAAATAGTAGCCCCAGTTAGAGGGCCTCTTATCCTATAGAACAAGAGAGAGAGAAGATCAAGAGGACCCAGATTTTACTCCAGTGCTGACACATAAACTCGTACTGTTTTACAAACCGCTCCCTCATTTCTTTAGCTAGAATGCACTAGATGTGACCCATATGTTTTGCTTTCTGCTGAACTTCCATTGAAGCATTTAGAGACTAGTGAAAAACCATGTCTCAACTAAATGTGTTCATTTCCTGTTGTTAAACTGCAGTTTAAAGATAAGCAGCTTTGCATTCTATGAATCCATTGCAAATCCTTCCCTTTTAGATGAATCAAACACACTTGCATACAGACATTTATTAGCTCCCTGAGAATTCATACTCTGTTCTTGTGAACTTTGAATCCCGTTGACCTCTTCTTTATCTAATATAAAGTGTTTAGACATAGGGTCCTAGTCTTGATCTCACTAATTTAAATGGGAACAATATTGGGCTGCCCAGATCTTTTCCCCTATGTTTGGGTTTGTATGTGAGTGGATGAGTTATTTTTGTCTCATCATTATTGTTTCAAGTCCAGACCATGTCTTCCTCTTGTCTGTACTGCACTCTCTCACTCCCCCTCCTTATGTGTGTGTATCTCTCTATTTTTATGGTAAATTTCAAAGGGAAGGAAGCAGTGGATTTAAAAATCTAAATCCGGTGACCTAAAAGTAATATGTAGCTAAACACACAAAAACTTAGATCAGTATTCTGCTGTTAGTGATATCAAGGTAAATGCAGTGTAACCCCATGAAAAATTTACTTTAGGGTAACTGACAACAGATTGGGACAATAAAATATCTGTCTCTTGGGATACAAACCATGTTTTGATGTTTTGTACAATGTAAAGGTTTGGCAGCACTCAATGTGTTCCTTTATTTTTAAAAAAGCCTTCATGATAAAGAGAAAATGAAGAAAGAACATTGTGATGGTCTAGTGTCGGAACCATTGACAGCACCAAGTGGAAAAGAAGAACCATCTACTTTCTAGAGAAGTTGAGAAGAAAAATCAGTGGCTGGAAGCAGTGGAAACGATCAGTTAGGAATCTCTCCACAGAAATTAGCTGGTCATCATATGTCACTTGCTGCAGAGTTAATTAACCGTTATAAATGTCTGACTTCTCGAGCAGAGGCAGAAAAGGAAACGGAAATGTGGAGTCATCATCCACACCCCCTCCAATGGTGAAGGTAGCTGTGGCAGGAGCCACTGCATTGCTTCAAATGGATGCATTTGCAGAAAGGTGATAGGTAAGAAAATGGCAATGTGACATTTAATTTTTTCTGCTATTCTCTGCATGGGCTACATTTGACAGTTACGTCCTCTGCTAGAATTTGCTCAATGAGTTTAAATTAATTAACTTAAGATTTGGTTCATTCATGGTTACATAATAACAATAACATTCAGTAATCCTTTACAAAGCTGCTCTTGGGCTCATGGCACTTTATTGGTATTTAGAGTGTAATCTGGTTATACTGACCACTGCTTTTAGTGATCATTCTACGGTTTGGAGCAAATACTACATTCCGAAAGCGAGTTTCCATTGCGGTTAGCATTTTTATCAGTACACTGATCAGCAAAGTGTAACTCAAATTGGGAGAGGTCGGGCTTTTTAAATTGTTTGCAAAGGCAGAAATAATTTCATACCTTTTTGATTCTCATTTGGCTGCAATTTAAAAAAAAAACAAATGGTGGAAGTTCTATTCAAAGCCAAAATGACTAACCTGATTTGAATTAAAATTCCTGTTAGAGCTCTGTGTCCTAGCAAGATGAAGTCTTTGTTTCTATGCACATCACTTATTTGAAAAGATCATTGCTTTCTGCATGCATACACAGTGATTACTGAGGTACAATATTCAAATAGGAGATTGCCCAGATTCATCCTTATGACTAAAGACAGGCCTGAAACAAAACCTTGGAACCTGAATTTTGATTCCAAATCCAGGTTTGGACCTAAATTTTGCACCTCTTTTCCAAATTGCAGTTCTTTTCACTAATAATTAAAGTTATAGAAACCAAGCTAGTTAGTCTCTCTTTGTATCGCCTTGCACCACAGCTCCCGTTGCACAATTCAACTTGTCAAAGGCTTGACAGAATGGTTTGTGATTGTCACAGTGCACTGGTGAACACCGTCTTAATAACTGTTTTCATTTATTAAAAGCAATCTTGCACCCCTTCGGCCATATCCACTGCTTGCCACTTTGTACCAATGGATATAAAGGTCTTGTCTTATACTATAGATGAAAGGCTTTAAAAGCACCAAAATGCATTTAATTAAAACACCTGCAAATAAACGGAGTTCAGAAATGTTTTTGCCTAGAATGCCTGGAATATGACTGCAAATGTTTCAGCATTCATGGCGTGCCCTGGCCCTGATATTACATACTTGGCGGTAAGGAAAGTAAGCACTTCTCTGGAATCTGTAGGTGTTTCTCTACAGACATCCTTTTAGTTAATTTATCATCAAGAAAACTAAACAAGTATGTGCTGTTTCTTTATATCTGTGTCAGGCCTCCAGGAAGAAGGGTTTTGGGAAGGCTCTAGGTAGTGAAGCAGACAGCAAGTGAATTGGTTTAGGGATACTGCTATTTTCCTTATTCTGATATAGCTCCTTTTTCATTGTTAGTAGAAAGTGACAATCTGTAATTCTTTACCATTATCATGTGGCAAAATCAAGTCCTTGTAAGTTCTTGTGTGTAACCCATTGAAATATGCCAGGCACACTTGTGAAGTGCTACAGCAGTCTAGCGTATTGTAGAATCTTCAGTAAATATTTTTTTACTGTCAGCTACACCTCAGAGTCCAGATCTAGTTTACATTGCGTAAGCATTCTGACAAATTGGGTTACTTACATAAGTAATCCCTGCTCGCATTGCAAATAAATCTCCCATAGTGGACAAAGAATAGTGTAATCAGATATCATTCTCACCCTGCTCCTACCACAGTGCACATACACACTTGAAATAGTGTCCAAATGTATCCTCTTATTGGGATCTCCTTTGCTCCTAACTTAATTAACAAACAATATGCATTACAGCCTGCGCTTGACAGTTTCTAAGATTGTCTCCCTGCAAAACTGCTCTATGTGCTTGCCCCCAAGTTCTCTTTGCTGTACAGAAACTCTTTTGTACTCTTAGGGTGGCATTATTAGGACCCACCTGGTCTGTCTGCAAGGATGAGTTAACAGACTAGTACTGCATCTCTGTGCTGGGCCATATTGCCTGACCTGTCGACGAGAGCTCTTATTGTGACTGCCCTGCTTTACTTTGACCTTATAATCACTTCATATTTGGACAGACTTGTCTGGTTTTGGTAGTGTGATTACTTGTGCTGGCCAGCAATTACTTTCCATATACATTATATATATTGGAGATAATTACTCACTAGGTCACAATCTTCATAGATGTTGATCCACTTCCTCCCAGAGGGCATGTGGCACTGTCAGGGTTTGTTAAATACTGGCCACGTTCCAGAACAAAATCTAGATTTTGTGTTAACATTTTATGGGCCCCAAATATGCATTGATTATAGCTCTGTCAGTGTGATCCGGGCAAAGCAAATTTGGGGCTAAAATCTTAGAGAGAAAAGGAATTTACCTTGGACTAGGGAAACTGTATAATCTGCCGTTAATAGAAGGAGAGCCTTTCAGATGAGGCCTGTTAGGAAGTCTTAACCTGGTTACTTTCAAGTAGAAAAGCAGAACCTCTCTTCTCCCTATCTGTCAGAAGCCTAAATTTAAGAAGCCTATACTTACTATACTTGTCTATACTTACCGCGCTGGTTCGGCGGCAGGCAATCGAACTTCTGGGTT